AATGGGGGAGAGGAGTTTGGGGCTGCAGTGAGGGGAGGGGGCTTATGGGGAGGGTGATAAATGGGGACAGGTGGAAGGGAAGGGGATAGAGGTTGGGAGGCTCAGGTGAGGATTAGGGTGAGTTGAGGGTGGGACATTGGCAACAGGAACATGGAGTTGGGGGACAGGGTACTAAGGGAGAATCTGGGTAATGGTAGCGGTCAGCCCCACATTCTCCCCTTGTGTGTGTGTCCAGAGTTGAGGGGCTTTTGCACCTTGGGGTGTGTCTGCCACCTTCTTGCCTCCCTCATATGATCTGGGATATGTCGCCTTCTCTGGGATGTCTGAGCCCTTCCCACTGCTCCCTTACACATATGCCAGGATCTGGTCCCCCAGACCTACCTATAGGGGTTGAACTCACCCCACCCGCCAGGTGAGCTGGGTTCGGGGGGGGTTGCCTCTTGTGACCCATGATCTGGGGAATTCCTTGTCCCTTTGCTTGGGGAGCTGAGAATGGGCAAACTTCATGTGTCACACAGGCTCTCAAGCACCCAGGCTTGGGATTGGAACACTCACTGAGATGTATGGGGTATTTCACATGTTTATCTCAGGTTGCATCATCTTCATGGGATGTTCTCTTTCAACTAGAACATCACATTGAGATGAATAGGTCACTTCACACCTCTCTGAGCTGCCTATGCTGCAGATGGGTCTGTAGAGGAGTCTTTTCCCTCCATCCTCCCTCTGTCCTTCCTGTTTAAAGGAGGACATTTCTAAGGGCTATAAATTCCTTCTAATGAAATTTGCACTCCCTGAGGCATATCAGAGTAGGTAATTGATCCAAATTTGGGGTCACATGTGCCAGGGTCTCTAGAGATGTAAGCCCCAGAAAAAATAGCCATTTTTCAAAAAGTTTCTTGGTATTGGGTTCTTTGTTTGTTTGCACAGAGCTACTGCTGTCATGTGGGTCAAAATGGGCTCAATTGGTCAGTTTTTACTCATAGTAGCCCACGGCACCCACTAAGTGTTTGTGAGACCCAAATTGTGAAACGTATTTAAGAGCATTCTCATGTCTTGCATAGCCGTGCGGTCTGGAAGGATTACAGCACACATGTCCCAGTGAAGAAAAAACCATGAGAGGGTTTGTATGCAGCCACTGTATAGTTGCCTGAGTAGTTCGAGGACATGGGCCAACGCCATTGCCCTGGTGAATACCCCACCACTGATGTGTCTACCCTGAACCTTTGCACACCTGTGCAATACAGATTTAATAACTTAAATTGAGGGGGGAATGCAGGGAATGGGTCAGGGAAATGGCTAGGGAGATGTGCTGGAGCAAGACTGGTGGGGCCCAGCTAATGGCAGGGCCAGGCTGTCTTGTTATGCTAATTGTGGGACATGATATGTACAACTGCCGAAGTGACTACTAGCCCCTACCAACAACGTGTCTCCTCCTGTTCAAAAATGTAGGAAATTCAACAGGAACAAAACCAGGCTAATGAGGAATGGCAGTGGTTTGGTGGTTGGTCATGCAGTTACAGACACTGAGCTGAGCAAAACTCAAACATCTGAAAACCAAATGCACAGTCATGGTTGTCCGTGCACCTTAACTCTGTTTTCTTTCAGTAGTGCCCCAAAATGACCCTTTAACACACACACCCCACAGTTACTGAAATGTACAAGCTTTTCCCCACCTTTTACAATTCATTCACACTTACCCACAGGATTCCAACGAATACTGCTAAAGGACAAAATGGAGGGGAAAAGTTTGTCCATGTCAACTTCCCTCCATTCCCGTGGAGCTGGCAGGAGCCATGGAAATTGTTAGCACGTGCTCCAGGGGCAGACAGTGTGTTAGCTGTTAGAGGGACCTACACTAAAGGTGGAGGCAGAAGTTGGGGCTGCCTGGTAAAGTTGTTTGTGATCTGAGGCCGTGTGTGGATTCTTTCAGGAGCTGTGGTTATGATATGAGGAGATCTACAGTTTGCACCCTCTGATATGTGTGAACAAAGGGAAGAGCCATAGGTGTACCATCAGGATCCAGTGTGCATCATTTCCATGCAGAATTGTGTACGTTACACAATTAGCAGGGCCCATGGGTTCATTACAAAGGGTGTTGTCAGTAGCAAGCTAGGATATGAGAGGAGTCTAAGCCTTGATTATCTGCATGCACTCCAGGTAAAGGAGTGTGGTTAGTTTCAGGTGCGATTGGTGTCAGGCAGTAGCTAACTCTGATTGGTAGAAGTGTGTTTGCAAGATCTGTCAGTTACTTTCATACAATCATAGAATTGTAGGACTAGAAGGGACCTCGAGAAGTCATCTAGTCCAGTCCCCTGCACTCCTGGCAGGACACAGTATTATCTAGACCAGTGGTGGGCAACCTCATCTCACGGGCCGCACGCAGCCTGTCAGGGTAATCTGCTGGTGGGCGGCGAGACAGTTTGTTTACATTGACCATCCGCAGGCATGGCCGCCCGTTGCTCCCGGTGGCTGTGGTTCGCCGTTCCCGGCCAATAGGAGCTGTGGGAACAAAGCTAGACCCAGAACTGATCCCTGTGGGACCCCACTTGAAAAGCCCTTCCAGCTTGACTGTGAACTACTGATAACTACTCTCTGGGATCGGTTTTCCAACCAGTTATGCACCCACCTTATAGTAGCTCCATCTTTATGAGAAGGTCATGTGAGACAGTATCTAAAGCCTTATTAAAGTCAAGATATACCACATCTACCACTTCCCCCCATCCACAAGGCTTATTACTCTGTCAAAGAAAGATTAAGTTGGTTTGACATGATTTGTTCCTTTGTGGTGTGTGACAGAGCTGTGATTGTGATATGAGGAGATCTGTGTTTTCCACCCACTCATGTGTGAGGAAGGAAAGAGGTACATTCTGGATGCATCATTGCTATGCAGAATTGTGTAGGTTATATCAGCAGCAGGGCATTGGACCCTTATTACAAAGGGTACTGTCAGCAGTGAGGTGGAATGTGAGAGGATTCTCATGCTTTCATGTTGGTTAAGGGGAAGGGTGGGCTGAGCTGGTAGCCTATGAGTCAGTGTAAGGGGGTTGTTAGGGGTGGGAAGTGGTTCTTAAGTTGTGCCCGTGTGGTATTCTGTCTGTGAAGTTGGCTAAGTGTGAATGTCTGTCAGGATCTGGAACCTCCTGAATCCTATACTGCCAAGAGACTGTGTGAGTAGATGCTATATGTGTATTGAGGTATTTCTCATAGAGGCAGGGGAAAGGTGGAATGGGCATGCTTCTTTCATTTTTTTTTTTGTCCTGTAACAGTGTTTGCTGGAAACCTGTGGGTGAGCATGAATGGGTTGTAAAAGGAGGTGAAGAACTTGTACTTTTCAGCAGCTGTGTGATTGGCAAAGTAAAGGTATATGTGTTAACAGGACATATTGGAGCATTTGCTGAAAGAGGGCAGAGGTAAGGTTGTGTGGGGAAGCTTAACTGTGCATTTCATGGGTTTCAGAAGTTTGAGATTACTCAACTCAGCCTTCTGCAAGGGGATGACCTACCTTACCTCAGCTCTGTGTGCATGTAGTTCTTTGCCACTGAATAGTAACTATGCTGGCCTCTGGGCTACCATTGGTGCTCCAGGCTGACTCTCAAAATTCCCATGAGCCACAGAGCTGCTGAATCAGGGTAGGGTTTCAGCCTCAGGTTTGAAATCATTGCCCTTATGTAAGCCAGAGGTTCAGACGCCAGCCCAGGCTCCCTCACTGAGGGAGATAAACTGAGTGTGTCGCAACTCACTGTGCATGGACCTGTCCTATGAGCTGTACCTCCAAGGCCTTATAAAAATATCTATTGAACACCCATTGCTGGGCAGGAGCCAGGTATTCTATTTGCCTTTCAGTCTCTGGGGTTCATCTCTGCTCCTCAGAGAGAGTTTCCCCTTCATTTCTCTGCCGTGGCTCAGAGAACTCAGTCTGCTCCTGGTAGGTAACTAGGCACCCAGGTTTATTGGGATAGTCCCAGGCCCAAAGAAGAGCTCTGTGATGCTCGAGAGCTTGTCTCTCTCACCAACAGAAGTTGGTTCAATAAAAGACACTGCTTCACCGACCTGATATCCTGGGACCAGCACAGTGACAAGAACACTGCAGACTGGTAATTCTGTTAGCTGTATTCTCCTCTTCTCCCATCTTGTAAGGATGTATCCCACCCTCCTCCATGCTGCAACTGCTTTATTATTTATTAACATGAATACTGTTTTCCCCCTTTATGGCTCTGCAAGTCTGTATATTAGGAAGGAGACGGCTCTGGCTGGGGCTGATATAGTCAGAGGTGGGAGCTTGGTTTGTTTTGCCTCCCTGCTTCCAGCAGATGGCTCCATGACACTGTTCATTAAATTACTCCTGTAGGATGGGAGAAAAGAGACATATGACAAACAGAATTACCAGTAAGTAATTTTCCTTTCATCTCTCTTCTTCTTTCTGGTAAAACAAAGAGTTTTTGAGCTCTGGTGAACATATCTGTTATGAGCGTGTTATAGTTCTCCTACCCTGGTCTGATTCACTTCCAATTTAGTAGAAAAATTCAATGTTGGTCCAAACTTACCTTGACACTTTTCAGCCCAACTTGACTTTCTTTGTGGGAACTCAAAATGGGGCACAATCAGGCTTATAACGGTAACCCACTAATAGCCTTAACTGTGGAGCAGGTACTGCCATTTTATCACAGTGGAGACCCACTGGCAGCCTTCTGTGGAGAGGCTACTGCCACTTTATAATCAGGTCCAATACACGTCTGAGAGGCTGGACACTGTCTGCCACATGGAGACTCCACAGTAGGTGGGGGATGATGCCATCAACTTTTTTAATTTTGTTTTCCCTTTTACAACAAGCTGAGCAGGCAAGAGTGGAGCGGCTGGAGCAGCAGCGCAAGGCAGAGGAGGAGAGAAGTCAGCAGCTGGAGCAGCAGATGAGGGACCTGAAACGCAGCCACCAGGAGAACATTAGACAGATGGAAGCCAAGATGGAGGAGGAGATCA